GAAGTGAAAAGACTTCTGAGGGAAAAGAAGTGAAAGTGGGTCTGAGGACATGGAAGTGACCTTCCTGCTCCTCATACTGTGACAAAAGCCTCTTCAGTGGAAATCAGAGCAACCTAGCACGACCTACGAACCAGTCCTGACAAGGGCGTGGTGGGATGAAGAGGACAGATGCTGCTGTTAAGAGCAGGAGGAAGGCCCTGAAGAGGCAAGCTAGTAGTTCACAGCCTCTCCTTTCGCACCTGGGCAGCAGGCCAGCATTTGCTGAATCAAGGCCAGGGCTGGAAGCAGCATTTCAAGATGGTGTGGGGGCAACAGAAGTGAGTTGGGAGACAACCGGCTCCCTGGCCGTGGGCTGCTTGGAAGAGATCCTGAGAGTGATGGAAATAGGGTGAAACTGCTGCTCTTTCAGCTGTGGTTGCTGTTCTTCACGCCATCCCAGATCTCCATGCCCATCCTGTGGGCATGGAGCCAGGCTGTGGAGAGCCTGTCATAAGGCACCTGCGTGCACAGGACCATGCAGACCATTCTCCTTGACTCTGGGACACTGAGTTGAGGAAGAGGCAGCAGATGTCACCTTACATAAGCATTATTTCATGTACATGTTTACTGTCTTCTTTTAATCCACGTACCGTCCCATACCAGAGCCAAGGCAAAACCAAGAATGAGCTATTTGGCTTCTTTAGGACCCTTTGGCCCCAGCCACCCAAGCTATGCTGCAGTGATGTCTGTATTTAAACCAAAGCATCAGTGGGAAGTCTCAAGGTAAATCAAGGGCGCCTATGCCCTGGGATTTGCTCTGCGCTGTGTGTAGCCTGCAAAAGCTGCTTTTCTTGGCCTTCACCACATTGAAAGACAACTCTACATTTTGGTGCAAACTGATCTGTAGAAGGAAAATGCCCCTCCCCCAAATACACAATCTGATTTTACATGTTAGCCTTTTTGCTAGTAAAGAAAAGCAAGGAAGTAATCAGCAACATCAATGTTACACATGCAGCAAAAACTTGCTAAGAAGGAAAACTTCTAGTGTTTCCTAGAAGGCATCAGAAACTTTATATTTATTACATATAACCGGCCTTTTGCATTATCCTCTTTGAATTCCACCACATCAATAATAACTCTAATCATACCATTAGCAATTACCTCCGAGGTTTCCTCCCAGTTACTCCTTTATTACCAACAGGTAGATGTTCATAGCAAGGAATTTTTCCTCTTTTCCTGTAATCATGCATATCCTTAATATTGACCTATCTGAAACACGACAAAAAAATCAAAATCTTACTGAATAAACTAATAAATTATACTTATAAGATGATATATTTACACAGAGAAAACAATGGAATAGCTTAGAGCACAAATTGAAGTATTAAAGAGACAACGGGTACTTTATCTTTCTGGTGTAATCTACACTACTGTAAGGATATTTTGCAAATTTTGCTAGTATTGATCACGCTTCAGTAGGTCTGATGGGAATTGTGAAGCACACAAAGCTTTTGTTAACATATTAGACCTTATGTTGTTTAGGCCATTTCTAATTGAAATGGGGTGAAGTCATAACTAGGGTGGCTTTGTTGGACCTGCACCGATAATGACAGACAAGCAGAGGCATTATTAACACTGGTGAAAATTCCCCAAAGCAGACCAAAGCTGCCTAAACTATTCTGATTGGTGTTAATTTGAACTGTATCCCATTGCAACCTAGAAAACTGTTAACATAATTTTAATATGATTTTCTTGGCATACATAGCTCTGGTTTTCACTGCACTGTAAAGAGAAGCAAACCGCCTCCCTCACCCTTTCCTCCTCCTCCCGCTATGTAGAATATAGCTCTGGAATTCAAACTGATGCAGATCCAAGTGTTGCCCAGACTGCTATCTGTTGTGGGCCAAATGAAAATTCATTACTCAGATACTCCTGTGTATTGGAGCTCTGGTTGCTATCTAAGTCTCTGTGTTGTGGCTGAGAACCATCTGGAGTTAATCAAATGAAATAAAACCCCTATTAACTGAACCTTAAATAGCCAGAGCTCCCCATTATCATGGTCAAACACCCTGACATTGGAAAAAATATCTTTGCTTGGTACAAATTTCTGTTTCCCACGCTTCTTCACCATTGTCACTGATGGTAAATCAAGATTGAACTGGTTGCCTACATCCCGAAATATTTTGAACCACATTGTTAAGTAGCACAACTGCAGAAGCTAACCCATGCCAAGCTATCGACAGGCTCAGGGTCCAGCTACAAACTAAATCTTTAAATAGTGGGTGCATCTCTGAGCATAGTGGTCTTATTAGCACCAATTTGCAAAAAAACAAGAGTTTGAAATAAAACTCTAATTTGATTGTGAGGCAACTGGAATTTTTGAAAACGAGGAACTGTGGGGAGCGACTATTCCAAGAACTTTCCAGTGGAACAAATTGGTGTTGTATACTTGCAGGAAAATCCAGAGTTTTAGTAAAAAGCACATCAAACCTGACACAGTTTGCTACATGAGGCAAAGAGCCATACCAAAGACTACAGTGATCTGATGGTAAACCCACTCTAAAAGTGGTCCCATACTCCAATCTCTGCTTGCAAACAGCAAGCTTTAGTTGGATTTAAAGATTTTCTCTCTCGTTTCCTCTCTCTCTCTCTCTCTTTTTTTTTTACTTTAAAGATGATAAATTAAGTTGTTTAAAATTTAGTTTTCAAGTGCCTAGACAGAGATAACGCTTACATTGGAAAGAGGGTTATTCTTCAAATGGAAATAATGGAAACAACACAATTTGGGACATTTCTAACCAGCTCAAATAGGCAGCAATAAATGAATAGAACATGGGAAAGCTACACTGGCAGGGAATGGAGTGTAAAGTGGATGAGTTAGTGGAACTTCTCATCTCTGATTTATGAGAAGCTGCAAAAAATAAAGCTGTAAAATATGTTGCATGGATTTAATTTGATCATTTGCTAAATGAATATACTTCCAGCATCCTCTATATTCTAAAGTATGATTGGCTTTGATTATTATAGACAACCTTCCGTGCATGATATGTGTATATATGCACAAATAGAAATCGTTGTTCTCCTTAAAAAGTGTTAGAGCCGATGCAATCTACGGAGGAATTAGGAGCATCCAAATGAATTTCCCGCCCCTGTGTAATATTTCCAGCATCTTGGTGGTATTCTGTGCAGAGCTAATATCACCTCGAAATTTAATCACAGTAATTGTAAATCCCGTGAAAGAATCCTGGAGGTAATTAAATAAGGGAAGGGGAAAATCCGCGTAACCTTGGAGGGCTAGCAGGAATCCGGAGGGCAGTGCACTCACCCTCGCATCAGCCGCCACCCCACTCTCACCCTGCGCGCTGGGTTAAAACTGCAACTGCCGCGAATGTGTCGTACAGGCTGGGTGTAAAAGCGCGTTTGGGCTTTTTAGCTCTCGGCAGAATGCTACGGGGATCCCCACGGGTTCGGCACCACCAGCTGCGAGCTCGCAGCCAGGGCTGCGACCCAGACCCCAGGCAGCACCCGCGGGGGCTCGAGGTGCGAGTCGGGCAGGAGCGCTGCCCGCAGCGGCGGAGCCCGCAGCCACCTGTGACAGGCAGAGCCGAGGTCCCTCCCCGCTGGGACACGGGCACCGTGTCCCGTTAAAAGGATCTCTCACCTCAATCGTCCTGCAGAAATAAACCCAGCGTCAAAATAATGTTACCAGATTTCCGCGTAAACCAGTTCCTTGTCTTTACTGTACCAAGAAGAAATAATAAAATGTCCCTAATCGCATTCGCTAAATATTTTTTCTGAACAAAAAAAAAGGAATATTTGCAGTTGATATAAATTTAATTTTTATTTAAATAAATGTTTGAAAAGTAAAGAAACCACCCAAATGATCTCACAGATCTGAGCACCCTCTGCAATCAGTGTATATCAAATTTAAGTCTACAAGTCGTATGCAGTTTATTCATTGGATAAAGAAAAAGAGATGGGCAACTACGGGAGACAAATAGTAGAATAACAAAGCTGCGATCATTCGGGGGATTTAGGATAGATTTGAAAAAAACAAAGATGGGAAGCCAAGGAGGAAAAATAACAGACAGGAAACACTGGAATTTGAGAATTGCAGTGAGTGTGAGACGTGTCTTGGCACTGTGAATGTATCGCACAAATAATAGGATTTTTATAGGAGTCCAATTTTTAATGGGGCATCTAATATATTTCCCATCCCCTCTGTGTTTCCTAGATTGGTGGAGGGAAACAGGCAGAGCATCGAAAACGAATGCATATTAAAACTGACAAATAAAAGCAAAATATGCATATAAAAATAAACTCAACTGCTTGTTTGTAGGGGGAGATGGGTGTGCGTAGGCAGTCTCCGGGAATAATCGAGTGGTGGAAGCTAAATGAGTGCAGGAGCTTTTAATCTGCAATTCTCCACACACCGTTTTCCCCGCTGGAGTGGGTCATTTTGACATATTCACAACACAGATGAGCAGGAAGGTGTGCCCAAGAGTTAAAATTCACTGCAGCGAGGTCGATGAAAACCGGTTGAGTATGGAAAGACAGAGCCAGGAAAGCGATTTTGAGGTCATAGATCGTTATTCCCCCCCCCTTTCTTTCCCATGTAGGGGCGGAAAAAAGATGCAACATCTAGGGGAGGCTTGTGCCGCGCGCCCGCGGGTCGCTCGCGGGGGGATGCGCAGCTGCTGCCCGCGGACGGGCAGCGCCAAATTGAGGCGGAGGCTCCGGACCGGCCGGGCTCGGACACCCGCGCTTCGCTG